AATAACTTTGCAGTTATTTTATAATAGTTTTATATTACTGTCTTTCAGTCTTTCCTGTTCCTTCTGTCACTCCAGTCTTCTCTATTCAGGATCCCTCTGCTGCTTTAAGTTACTGTTTTTTGTAGTTCTTTTCTGTTTGTTCAAGGTGTTTGTTGGCAGTCTTTTCTGCCCTCCCAGTACATTGCCTATTACTCTTCTGATGGGTTTTGTATTGTCTTTACCATGTCAAGATCTACTGTATTTTCTTGCTTTCCATACAACCTCAAATAAGACATGCATCTTGCTTTTGGGAAGGCAGAATGAAGAAAAACAGGGGGGAGGGGGGGGGTTTCAGTTATGACTGCATGGATTGGGGATAGAGCCTAATCTTCATCTTGTTCACCCTTTCTTTCCCCCTTAGGTGAAATCTACCATTTTAACCCTTTCACCATTGTCACCAGTTTTAAACCTGCTCCATTGTCAGCAGCTCTTGGCTGCTCAGCCAAAAGCTGAAAGTGTAGCTGCTGCTGAAGACTGGACTCCAAGGGGGAGTTCTAGGATTTTGAAAGAGCTAAAAACAGTATGCAGAGCTGAGAAATAGGAGAAGAGAGACCAGGAGTCGCAAGCAGACATCAAAATTGCTGAAGAAAGGATAGCTTGATTTGATATGCTTTGCATAGGCAGTGTGAACAAAGCCAGGAAATCTTAGAACTTTGTTCAAAATGCACGCTATGGCCAAAGCCTCTCATCTCAGAGAGATCATAGTTAGCCATCCTGCCACAGTGAACCATAACTTGTTTTGGTCAGAACAGCTCAAATCATGCTAAAATATAGTTGTTTTAATTTCATTGAAAAACCTGTGTCGGTGGAACCAGAGAAAGTCTGGGTTCAGTAACACCTACTATTAAAAACATTGAGATGACTCAGTTACTGGCAGAAACAAAGGACTTTTGGGGGGGGAGAGGGGAGACTTAGTTTTTATTTTGATTCAAAATCATCAGTGTGTGTGAAGCTGACCACATGAAAATATTTTTTTCTACCCTTCAGTAATTCAGGTACCACCCCAAACACTGAACTCCATTAGATTCCAACACGCAATGCATACATTTACCTAAAGCTGAAAAGTAGTTGCAGTTTGAAATCAGATCAAATTCTGGTTGAGCACTGGGTGGTGCTCTATACAATACTATTCACTTGGGTCTCAGAGTATGAAGGGGAAAAAGGAAAAAAAAATCTTAAAAAAAAATAGAGAGAAAAAATACTGAAAAGAAATCAAGCAAGCACACCTTAGTAGTTTAGCTGATATTTGAAATCCCAATATAAAATATCACTGTTGTATTTAGCAATGTCTTTCACTTATTAGAAGTGAAATGATTGGAGAATTTTGTTTTCTTGAACAGCATGTAATTGAGTTTTAAAAAATCTAGGTTGCATGGAATTTCTTCAGTTGACATTTTATATTGAAACATTCTCTGTTTCTTTCCCAATTAAATCTGCTGGAAATTTACCATAGGATTTCACCCCTTATTAAGGATCTTAAGAGCCATCTGTTGCTTATAAAAGCTTATGCCTCTGACTCGGTCTTAAAGGTGCACTCTGCCCTGCCTTCTGCCTGATTTCAGACTAACACAGCTAACTACCTCTCTGTAAAGGCTAATTAAACAACTGTCACCACGAGCAAGTATTGTGCATGTTTTACAGATAAATAAGTTATGTAACTTCATAGTCTTGTTTTCTCACGGTCCTGGTACATCTGTGGAAGGGTGAGGAATACAGCCTGACTCTGAGTTCAGTGTGTTAGGGAGGGAGGAAAGCTATATGATTAAAATTAAATGAAATTGCCAAAAAGAAACTTTGTTGATTATACTTCACTTTGCAATCTGCCAGTTTTTCAAAGTTACTCCAAATTGTGCCCATATATTTTGGGGGCCATGAAACTTCCAGCTGCTCAGCTTGCCCATGTAAATCTAAGAGCTACAGATTTTGGTTTGAGGACACCATGGGCATGCCCCACATGCAGGGGTGTGTGGTTGCCACAGCAAACATAGCAGCAGGAGAAATTGGTGCCACTGCTTTTTTTGCTGCTGCACAGACCCCTGCACATGGGGTTAGTGTGGGGCAAATTGTCCTGGGTAGGGGAGGCTGTGGCTAGCACTTGTGCTGGTCCCACCATACTTACCTGGGGTTCTGGGGGGCTCCTAGGGCAGCAGTGGCAGCAATCTGGCAGCTTGGAGCCTGGCTGGCAGCCAGAGCATGTCTTTTTTATCAGCAGTTTTATTTGACATTGAGATCTCCCAGTGTCAAAAAAAAAAAAAAAAAAAAAAAAAAAAAAAAAAAGGTTGCACGTGCACCACATGCGGTTTGTACTGCCTCACACTGCTTTGAGGTGTTGCAAACCGCATGTGTGCACTCGTGGGGATGCATCCCATGAGTCCAAGTT